TTTTGGATGTATTATTTAGAAAACAAATACCTAATTTATCATGAATTTAATGTATTATTAGTGAATAAATATAAAAATGAAATATTATAGTTACGAACCACACGATAAGTACAAGAAACCGGTTTCTATAATCGGCATCGCTCGTAGCAGAGAGGGTAAGGTACTGGATTTATATGCAGGTAGTGGAGGGTTCAAATCTCGTAAATGGATAGTGTATTTTTTTTTTTTTTGTTGGAATTGTAAAAGAAAAAAAATTAAAATTAAGAATTATAGTGGGAAAATAAAACTAAAATTTGTTTAAAAATCAATTGCTTGGGAGTGTGAGGGGGAATAGTGGGTAAAGGTGTGCAGAAGAGTAACACGCCACGGTTGGCAGATATATATATATTTAGTAGGGAGAGGCAAAGTGTGTAAAGAACAGTAGGTAAGGGAAACGGGGTTAGGGGGGAAACTTGAGAGAAAGAGACTTCGGGTAAACCACTTCCGTTTCAGAAAAAAAAATCTGTCGATTTTAAAATTCCAGCTCCCCGAGTACGCGACATAAAGAACTTCGTTCTAAAAAAAAAACTCGACTATCTATCGTAATAGTTTCCTGGTAGTTCACCAAGAGTATAGTTGTCAGTCGTGCAGCTGGGCATCCAGGCTACCAATAATTCTCTACCTTCATGGGCATGCAGAGAAAATCGGTTATTACTCCGGATCGCCATGAAAACCGAGTGCCACGGAAAAATAGGCGTTCAGAACGTCAACATTTCTGGTGGAATACCAGGAGACATGTCCAGCCAAAGCACAACCTCCTTAAGGACGTCAGAATTTTGTAGCTGTTCAACTATCCACCCTGGTGCCATGCAAAAATTTTTTACTACAAATGCAAGCCAGGAAAGACAGTCCTGAGGAGTACGGACAGCCACAACGCCCTTCGTCTTAGTGGTCATAACTACAGAGAAGGTATTCTTCAGGCCCACTTTTTCGACTAACGATGAGCGATTGGTTATCCGGAAAACAACCTAAAGACAAAACTTTGTTTAGTCAGCGGCGTACCTCCCTTCTGTACAATCTCCGTACATAGAGACTCCAAGGATAAGAGTTAAGCTACCCGCAGTTGACTCTTTATCATCAAGAACAAATCTTTTAAAATAACACGAAATTTCACCACTGACTTTTCCAGGGCTATTTTAAGTATTAACGTTCCCTACTTAACCATTAATCTCATCGGTTTTTTTAAGGGCCACCTAAATTTAAACTACCTTGCCAACAAATACATTTTTAATATTATTTCTGAGAACGATTCGATGACTGAAAGACTATGTAAAGCCGGCCACTATTAAATCAAGTCAATCATGCACTGGCAGACGTCACGAGCGGAGTTGTTCATCGCAAGGCTGAGAACCCCAGTAACCGACGACCCTATATTACCCTCTTGACTTTAAGCATTCAACCAAGAATCACCGATCCTCTTAAAGTCTGCACTAAGAGAGCCTAACAGCTACAAAGAAAAAATAAACTCGAACGAACAGGACAGTCTCCAACGGGCAAGCATCACTAACATATCTCTTCCCCTTAGACCATTAAAACAACTGAGTCAGCAGAAAACGAAGGTGCTTTAGACACTAACGTCTTCGACGTTATATCAGAAGACGTTAGAAAAGAGCTTTACAACTAGATCCAAAGGTTCAAACGTTATAGTTTTCCTCCCGACCAGTGTGCAAGTACAATAACAGGCCAGAGATGATCACCCTGAGGTGTGGAAACAATTGCGCTTGCTGGAAATTTCAGTCAAGAAAGATTTTACTTAAGAAGCTCGCTGATCCTTTTTAGGGTCATCGGACGTCAAACTACCTTGCTAACAAATATATTGCAACTTAATAAAGTTAAAAAAAAAGCCATTAGGGCTCACAAAAGTCTAGCTGAGCCAAAAGTCGCAAGAAGTCGAACTGTAGCAGCATCAAAATCGATAAATATCAATTTCCAGTCACTCTTAATAAAAACAGGATTCGTGAATCACGTTGAAATCTTGTGGCCGTATAAGGTTGTAGTTGCTGTTTCATAGTAATTAAAAAAAAATTGGTTTTAACTACTTAAATTTCATTTTACTTAAATAATAAAATTGCATATCGTGTTAGCACCTATAAATATATTACTATCATCAGCTTTCTTCAGTCTTGAACGAGAAACATATATTGATATTATATTACGTAAGCTCGACCAAATTGTTATGAAGTTAATTTGTATAGTGTTTTTTTCTCCTGTGTGTTAGTAGTATAAGCATTTAAGATAAATCTACATATTTGTGAAAAGTCTCCCTATTCATAAAACACAGCAAACAGTCTTAATCCATCAATTATTTAATACAATTTAAGACTTAAAAAGTTACATTGAAACAATATATGCTCCCGCAAAAACAGTAAATCAATTCAATGATGACATCAAAAATTAGTATCAGCAGACTGTAAAAATGCATAAATCCAGACTTAAACAAAAAAAGAATTGAAAAAGCTATAAGTTTTTAGTGGCTACCCTTAAATAGACTGTATGTGCGTATTTTGAATATTTAATGATGTTTGCGCGTGTCAACTATGATAAATATTTAATGACATAGTTAATAAAAAAAAAAATATGTTGCACTGCTACTCAACGTCACACAAATAACAAGTAATATTTTCAGAAAAAACCAGAAAAAGCTCAAACTTCACTGGGAACAGCTGCACTGAGATATAATGGTAGAATAACTGGGAGTGAATACGTTTCGTTTAAGGTTTCGTAAGTAATATCAAAAGCTAGAATCATGTTACATATTAAAGACACAAAACAACTAATACCTTCAATAGCTGTTGCCAACAACAACTGACAACTGTATAAAACATTTAGAAGTGTTAACTTCAAAAACCAAGCAGAGCAACTTTTTTGACATACAAGAAATACCCGATTTTCAGCTTTCCACTGAATTTACCGAGTAACTCATTTTCATATTACTAACGGTCTTACATACCAACTTTAATTTTGNTCAATAAGATAAATTATAAGTAGCACTTTTTTGTTTGAATATTACACTGTTATTGTTACTTTAAGTTAAATTTTTTCCTTTGTATTTATTTACTCAATTTTTTTATTTCTGGTACCTTTTTTCTTGGGAGTCATATTTTACGTTTAATGTAAATAATTAGATTAACAATTTCTGTAAACAATTAGATTAACAATAAGTTTTTAAAACATTCTCACTTATACTCATTTCTACACATTAATATTGCCATCGAAATTTTGAGGTTATGTTTTTACTTACTGTTGTTTATTTAAAACTCAGATATGATAGTCTTATTCCATCAGTCATTTAATACAATTTAAGACTTAAAAAGTTACATTAAAACAATATACGCTCCCGCGAAAACAGTACATCAATTCAAAGATGACATCAAAAGTTAGTATCAGCACACTGTATAAATGCATGAAGCCAGACTTAAACAAAAAAAGAATTAAAAAAGCTGTAAGTTTTTAGTAGCTACCCTTACATGAACTGTATGTGCGTACTATGAATATTTAATGATTCTTGCGCGTGTCGACTTTGATAAATATTTAATGACATAGTTAATAAAAAAATAGATACGTTGCACTGCTACTCGACGTCACACAAATAACAATTAATATTTTTAGTGAAAACCAGAAAAAGCTCAAGTTTCACTGGAAACAGCTGCACTAAGATATAACGGTAGAATAACTTGGAGTGAATACGTTTCGTTTAAGATTTCGTAAGTAATATCAAAAGCTAGAATCACGTTAAATATTGAAGACACAAAACAACTAATACCTTTAATACTTGTCACCAGCAACAACTGATAACTGTATGAAACATTTAGAAGTATTAACTTCGGTAAACTAAGCAGAGCAACTTTATTAACATACGAGAAATACCCGATTTTCAGCGTTCCAATGAATTTACCAAGTAACTCATTTTCATATTACTAACGGTTTTACATACCAACTTTAATTTTCGAATCAGTAAAGTGCATACATTTTTTTACCTTTTTACTTTACTTTGTAAAGAGAAATAAGAAAGTCTTTACCCTTTCCATTTTCCTGTCTTGGATATTTCGAGAGAAAATCTACATACTTGACTCTAATACGGGTAATCGAATTTTTTACTTCTCGAGGCATGCGTACTTATTTCCCCTCTAACGACATTCTGTGAATAGTATGTTAACTAGAAACTCTATTTGAGAATCTGAATCATTTTTGCAACATTATAATGAGTCAAAACTAGTCATAGTAACACATGCCGGGCACAGTATCATTACCTTTATCCTCATCCTTAATATAACAACTATTATCATCACAATTATCATGATTAATATTGTTTTCTAAAAATAATAAAATAAATAATGATAAGTTATTATTATAATTGTTATTATTGTTTGTGCTATTATTATTTTTTTTTTTATTACCGTTACTACAACCTCGATTGATTAATCGAACAGTACTTAGCATAAGAAAATAATGACATTTTTTCTTAATGTCAATATTAAAGTACAATAAAATTCTGTAGAATTTGAATGTAAAGAATAAAAAAAGAGCAGAAGTAAGTAAATCGCCTTCCATTCTCTTAACGCATATACGAGAGCAAGCAGGAAGTGAGAAGTGCCAATTTCTAAGTGGCTGAACTAGAGAAGCTCTAGGAAACTACATTTTTAGATATAATAATTTTTCCTGGATTTTTTCCTGGTAAGATTTTCTGTGTTTTCTTTCAGCAAGTGCGTAACTGAGGTGCACTACTCCCTATAAAAAGGCCCAGATGTTCGAAAACAGCAACCTCATAATTACCTCTTCATCTCGAGTACTAGAACCGCCTGTGCTATCATTCGGTCCACTATAAGCGTAATTTAAATCTCGACTTTGGACTTCTTACCCTAATTCACCATTTGTAAAGATGTGTTTTTAAATAAAGAGTAAAATTAAATGGTTAAAAATTCGTAAGTCTCCCTAACTTTATTATCTTCTCATCTTTTTAGGGCAGACATAGCATCAACAGAGTACACCATTACTCGTAACAGTTTTGATACTTTCTAGATTTTGTGGTTATGGTTGCTTCTTGACCAGTTGCGAACCAAATTACAAATTTCTTCTTACGTAAATTCTTGAACAAGTACCTTTATTTCTGACGGTATTGGTATCTTCAAGATCGTGAACGGGATGCCTTCAATACGCCGTTACGAGTAGTATTTACAACTCCTAAGTGTGTGGCAAATAAGTGAACCGCTATACAGCACAATAACTATTCTGAGACATTACAACTTAATTGCCTTTCCTCAAAATCATTCTTACGATCATTTTCGGATAACCTACCGCATATTTTTAGTATTCTCTCGCTTCGCGTCCCACCTACCAGCCCAGTATAAGTCCCAATTTTATAAGAGCAAGCTAAGATCTTAATAATTAATTGCGCCGACGTATCATAAAACTTTTGGAAGCTCTAAAGAAATAGCACTGATCTTGTGGTGTTGTACAAGCATTAAGATAGTAACTTTTCTTTTTGCAATATGAAGTTTCCTCTTCTTAGTTTTATGAACTGTACTAAGGCCGCTTTAACAAAAAACGTGCGTCGAAGCGCTTTACAGTTTCTCTGATGTAGCACTATTTTTTTGAGAGCCGACAGCGCGGGCAACTATAGGGTTTATAGGCTACGCTCTTTTCCTATATTATCCTGAGTATATAGAACCATGATAAGGTCACTCTAGCAAAATGCTTGTGTCGGAGCGCCTCAAAATGCCCCTGACATCGTATTATTTTGTTGGGTTTTGACTAAGTGAGCAATAACTATTTTGAGCAGCTACGCTCTAATATTTTTCTTCATCTTTCGTATACAGAACTATACTCAAACCCCTCTGATAAGGTACGTGTATCAGAGCACCCTCATAGCGCATTATTTTGTTGAGAAATGACTAAACG